GGCGTCGACCGACCCTACGGCGCGAGAAGTACGGTCGACGACGACGCCACTCCACGCGCGCGACGACGTACGTCTCTCTCTCCTCTCTCTCTCTCTCTCTCTCTCTCTCTCTCTCTCTCTCTCTCTCTCTCTCTCACACACACACACACACACATGCACGCACATGCACGCACGCACGCACACAGAGCCCCTTCTGCTTTGGGTCCCTTTGTTAGGCCTCCTTTCCTTCTGCTTGGGAGCATGCATGTCAGAAATGCTGCTCTGGGTTCATGCAGCCCCGGCAGCAGGAAACAGTTTGGGGCCAGGTCTGCTCAATCTGCTCTGGCCTCAGAGATTACTTACAGGTGGGCCCCTTCCTGGGTCATTGGGAGCCAGTCATCCAGGAATGCGGCTAAGTCCCAACCCAGCTGCATAGGGAAGTGGCTGCTGTCCCTGTCCCCTCTGCTACACCTGCTCTCAGGATGGCACCCCTCTGGGCCAGGCCTGGCTTGGGGTGGGCTGTCCCATCTCTGGCAGCCTGTGTTCAGACAGCCTGCCTTCCGTCCCCCACACCCTTTGTGACCATGGACTTCACACTGAAGAACCCATGCTGGATGGCCCGTGATCCTGAGCAGAGTCCTTAAAACAGGCCCAGGAGCTGCTTCCTGGCTCTGCTCCCTGACCTGCAGCTGCTGCTCGCTGACCACCAGCCACACAGCCTTCAATGTGGCCCACCCAGGGAGCTCTTTCTCACCTCTGCCCTGTCCTGGTGCCTCCCCCAAGAGGCCTGGCCCCCCTGCAGGACGGCTTCTCCCAAAAGGGCAGCAGTGACTCTGGTTTCTCGGCAGCTCTGCAGCTGCCTGTTCCTTTGGCTTGGAATGTGGAATTCCATCACGTCCCTGGCCCTCGGTCGGGACCCACACCATGGCTAAGATTCCAGATCCCAGGGGCCTGAAAGCCTTCAGGAAATGGCCAGTGCCTGGGAAAGTGGGGAGCTGTCCACTGGGCTCCCCGCCTCCTACTTCTGGCTGCCTCCTTTCCGACCCTGCCCCGGCCCTTCTGCCACTACTCTGCCCAGCGGGTTTCACACTTCCTTGCATTGCTCGGTGTGGTTTTTTATCCCTCCCACCCTCACAGTTCCCCATGAGGTCCTCACTGAGCCCCTACCCACCCATCTATTTGGCCAGCAGCCCCAAACTTGACCAAAGGCTGAGACCCACCCAGAGGCACCTGTACAGAGCCTGCCCTGTCCCTGCCAGGATGCGAACATGCAGCTCTGCAGGATCCACAGACCTGGTCCGACATCCCATGTGTCCCTGCTTGCAGCCCAACTATGCCCCCCTCACATTAGCTCAGGCCAGCTCTTCTCCATCAGTAGTACCCTGATCCCTCCTCTGCCAGGGAGGGAATACGGAAGAGAAGCCAGAAGGAAGAGGTAGCCTGAACCAGGGATGCAGACCCCTCCCTCTGCCTCACAGAAATGGCGCCCATGAGTTCTGCCCCCTAGCCCTGAAAGAGGGGGTATTGTTGGCATTTAGTTCATTCGTTCATTCACTCATTCACTCAACAAACACTTCTTGAGCCTCTTTCCTGTGCTCAGTAGTTTCCCAGGTAGGTGAGGTCCCTGCCCAGGGAACCCACAGGCCAGCAGATTTTGGCATTTCTCTTGCCAGAAGACCCTTGGACACATAAGGGGATTTGACAGCACCCGTGTCCCAGGCTTGGACTAAACTGTCTCTTTCTGTCATTATCCAAGTGCTGTATCTCCATCATCCTTTCACAGGCTCTGGGCGTCATCGCTGTGGATTTCCCTTCTGGTGGCCCCTTATCAGCCCTTTAGCACCTCTCCAGGGGCTCTAGGAGGCCCTGGGAAGGTGGTCTCCTGAGGCCAAGGGGTGTGGGTGTGACAGCCGACCCTGGGAATGACTCTGGCCGGCCTTCACCTGAAGGCATTTAGGAGATGTTAGCTCAGTCTTTAGCCAGTCTCAACTGATTCAGTGGCCTCCACGCACCCCTGCCCCACCCCAACGTCCCCGCAGGCACTTTGGCATCTGGTTTTGCCCCTTGCATCAGCCCAGAGCCCCCAGGCAGACCTGCCTACTCTCATTCCCAAGACTTGAAGCCTCTGTCCTTTGAAACACCCAATTATGCAAAATAGGAGGACAGACTGGCCTCCGGACCCCTCTACATCCCTGGGATCCAGGTGTAGCAGCCTCCTCCCCCTGGGGGTGGGATGGGCCACCATCACTCTGTGCCTCCTCACCATCCCCCACAGCCTGTAGCAGTGGAAGCTTCTCAGGGTGTTAGATTGTCTGGGGAGAAGGCAAAAAAGCGAGCTCACATCGTGCTGCCCCTCGTCCTGAACCCCAGATGGCCATGGCCCCGTCCCCCGATTCTTCCCAGTGCACCCCTCACCAGCTCCCTTGCTGAAACTCTGCTGAGGCAGAGAAGCAGTAACCTACTATTTCCAGCTCCCACCCTTGGGAGAAAGCAATTTAGAGAAGAGAATTGCAAGCTTGCCTTTGTGGTTGAACCCACTGCCCCAGGGCTAGGGTGGCTGGGCCTGTGGTGTCAGTCTCCCAGGCTGCTGCCCCCTGCCTGCGGGTGCCAGGTCCTGTCCTCGGGGTGGCTGAGATGTGGATGGTGCTGGCTCCAAGCCCACCCTTCTCGAGCATCACCTCCCTGAGGCTTTAGGTTTGGGCTGGCATTGGCCCCATTTTACAGACGAGGGAACAGACAGGGAGAGACAGCATGCCATCCCCTGCTCCGAGTTGCTGCCCCAGACAGGCAACTGTTGGTCAGATGCTCTGGTGCCAGCTGAGGAGGGGGTCTCTGAGCTGCCGCTCCAGGGGTAGCCCAAGGTAGCTTTAGGGGTTGGGGGTCCCAGTCACCTTCCCAGGCCAGTGTTTCCCCCTCGGTTCTCTGCAGTACTTTACTGTGCTTGCAGGGCACGCTTGAGCTTCTGGGCCTGCGATGTGTAATTAGCCAGGCTCCAGGGCTAATAACAGTGTTCCTTCCTTCCTTCAGAGGGCCTGACAGTGGGCCCTGCGTCACTGCAGATGGGAAGCCCTCAGGATAATGTGGAGCAAAGATGTGTGACAGGACTCCCACCCTGAAGGGGCCTGGCCCCCAAATGCCAGGGGACAGGCATACGGGTCAAGCTCCTGGGAGGCTCCTCCTTCCCCAACCCTGCTGAGTCATGGGCTGCAACCACAGCTGCTTCTCCAGACCCCGGCCCTCCCTCTGCAGATGAATGTACACCTTTCCCATCTGGGGTAGCACAATCCAAATTCTTACAGCCTGCCAATAAAGTTTAGAACACACAGTTTGAACTGCGATGTCTGTCTCATGCCCACCAACCCCAGTGTCTCCTGACTCCATCCATGATAGAGTTGGGCTTAGAGGCTTCTGTGGAGGGCCAGGAAAAAGGTTCTGGAGGCTTCTGGCCTTCATGGCACCCTCCTCGGTGAGGCAGGTTGTGGGGTCCGCACCCATTTCCCTCCCTCTGGTTGGACAGCCCTCTGGGCTCCGCTGCACTGTTGTCTGAGCATCTCCTGCCCCCCACCCCACCCCAGGGAAGGAAGCCATGCTGAAGCACCGGGACTATGAGACGGCCACCCTGTCGGACATCAAAGCCCTCATCCGCAAGCACGAAGCCTTCGAGAGCGACCTGGCCGCGCACCAGGACCGCGTGGAGCAGATCGCGGCTATCGCCCAGGAGCTCAAGTACGTGTGGCCTTGTGGTCCCCTGTTACCCGCTTCCCCTCCAGCACCCTACCCAGAGAAGTGGTGGGGTCTCCTGGCCCTTTCCACCCTCGCCCCCGCTTTCAAATGCCAGGGAAGGGCCTCGTGGGATGATGCCTTCTCTTCATCCTGTATGAGACATAGAGGCATCTGGATTCTCCAGCACAAGGGAAGTCTCTGACCCCTTGTCCTGATTCCTCAGGTTGTCAGGGTCCCTGGGGCTCCACCTCCTGTGCCTGCCACACCAAGGAGACCCCCTAGGCCCCTGATGTGGTGGGCAGCCTAGCCCCCGCTGCTCCCTGAGGGAATCAGGCTGCACAGAGAGCCCATTGTTCTGTCTGGCCCCTTCCCTCTCCTGCTCAGAATACACTTATTGTAAGAGCTTCCAGGCAGCCAGTTCTCTGCCCTCCCTTCCCCGCCCCAGTCAGATAAACTTGTGCACACAATTAGTACACTAAGCCTCCAGAGCCAGTGAAAGGGGGCCTTATTCCACCAGCAAAGCGGCCAGCAGCAGGCAGGGAGGGCCTAGGGAGTGGGAGGGCCAGGCCATTACTTCATGGAAAATCCACAGGCCCTGGAGGGGCGGCAGGGCTCCCAAAATAGCTGTCTGCTCAAAAATAGGATCCTTGGCTGGAACTGCCCTTTCCAGACACCCCCCACCCTGCCATAGTTATCCCCAAAGTTCTGCCTGTTCCTACAAGCCTGGGGCCCAGCAGTGATGCCTGGTGGAGCCCAATGCCGGACAGGGCCAGTTTCCTCCCTGACTCACTCTCTCCACACTGCCCACCTGCTTTGGGGGTTCCCCATTTGCTCACCCAGAGGCAGGAGTACCATGGACCTTCCACAGTACCGGAGACACAGCGTCCTTATTGGCACTGTTGGGAACCCCTGTACCTGGCACTCCCAGGCCAAGAAGAGTGAGGTCACAGATGCAGATGTCCACCATCCGCAGGGGTTGCAGGGGGTGGAACACTGGCAGGTTCCCCCCATTGACAGGCGAGCCCCTGGAAGCTGGTGGGAAACAGACTTGGAGTAAATCCTAGGCCAGCCTAATTCTCAGACACTGGGGAACAGCCATGTGAAACCCATTACCCTGAGCCAGGGAACAAGCAGTCCCTGAGGCAGCTTTCTGGACAGTAGCCCTGCCTGGAGGAGAAAGGGAGGGCTGTTTGGGGTGCTGTCCGTTCCCCTAAAGATGAGTCAGAGGGCTGAGGTCCAGCCAGCAAGAGCCTGGAATGGACAGCCAGGCTGATCGTTGATTAACAAGAATGATGCTCTGCGTGTACCAGCTCATTTCACCCCACAGCAGTCCCACATTACAGAGTGGGGACCGAGGCACAGAGAAGCCAAGGGGCCTGCCCAGCATCACACAGCTAGGGAGGGAGTAAGACGGGGATGGAGCCCGGGCCGCCTGGCCCTGGTCTGGAGCAGCCCCCTGCTCCTCCCGCAGCCCCTGTATTC